TATCCACAATGAAAATAGTGTAAATAAAAATATGATAAGCAAATGTGGCTCTATAAAATAAGGTTAATAAGATTTTTAAATATTGCTCAGAGCATAATGAAATGTTACAAAGGTTTGAATTCGGTCAACGATCTCTTCTTATGGGTCTTATTTCGCTAAGTTTTCTATCGCAACAATCACGTCATAAAACTGCTCTCAGTGGTGCTGAGGCTCCATATAACTGTAATATTTCATCAATTTCAGCGTAGGTAATTTGTATTTAATGTACGATTGCCCGCCTTTAATACATTGACTTTCAAATCGAGTTGACCTTGTTAGAAAATTGAGATTCACCGATTTTTGAATATTCAGTACGAATTGTTTAAAATGGTACAAGTCGTTTTCCAGTTTGTTCCCTTCGTTTATTCCCTTCACAATCTCTATTTAATAGCAGTTATTCGGGAAGCTCACTATTTCACTTTCACAAAAAATATACTTGTTGAAACTATATACTATACTATTTGAATTATCTTCTGCAAAATTAAACATAATAATTGTGTATAATAACAATTAAAATATAACATTTAAAAAAAAAAAATTCGAAATTGTAAAAAGCGTAAAAAAAATACCGGTTCTCAAGGAGCTTAGGTATTTATTAGATTTGTGGTCGAAGTATGTAAAGCACAGAAGGAACCGACCCAACCCTAATAAATATTTACATTCTTGATCAGCATCAATAGCCGAGGCGATATGGCCCTGTCTGTCTGTCCGTCCGTCCGTACGTCCAGCCATGTTGTTTGTTGCAAAACTAGACTATAAGAGCTACAGCAACCAAGTTTAGTGTCCGGACTGCACTGATATCACAACCTTCAAGTGTGCATTTCAAAGTTTGGGCTCCCCTTAGCCTTCACAAAGGACGAAAATCTGTGGCATCCAGATATTCAAAGAGATGGGAAAACAAAAACACAGTATCTGCTTCTCAAGCAGATTGGATCATTTTTATAATCAGAATAAACAAAATAAAAAAATAAAGACAGAGCAACATCGAAAGGTACTACTGTACCTCTGCTATACCGACATTTTAGAAAACCAACATTCTTGAAATGTTTCGATCAATATGGCAATGTTGGCAGATCTACACAGGCCCAGCGGAGTACAGTGCTCTGTAGTTTCTCAAACCATCATGGGATACTGGTAGATTGACACATACTCCTCGAGACTGTCAATCCATCATACTGCCTTATCCAGAAGTTGTCAACAATTCCGTTTTTATTCTAAGCGAAATAAGAGCTCAGTTACAATTAGCGAAACCCATTTTTATAGCACTATATATTGATCATCCTAGAGCACCAACAAAACGAAAAGTATATATTCTGTGGAAAAAAGTTGAACGCAAAAGTAAGTGAAAACCAGAGCTCGTGCCTGATTGTTATACAATATACATTACAAATTGCTAACTTATATAGTTGTAAAATAAGATATATCGGAAAACTTGTGATTTTTACCACAAAGTCTGAGATATTCAAATTCGTCTCAATATATCGTCTTATACACAGCCATAAACATATCTCAAATTCGTCCACTGCAAAGAAACTGAACACCGATAAAAATTAGATGTTCTACAGAGTACATTTTCTTACAAATAACTGTTTCTAAAAGGAACACACTTATAAAACTAGCAGGACTTTCGAAATTTTCGCTTTTTCAGTCATTCTATTGATTATAGCAACTTATTGTCAAAAGGGGTTAAATACCTTTAAAACTACTATAAATTCCGATCCACCAACAAAAAGTTCACGCCCATTTGAACATGGTATCATGCAACATGTGTTATACCGAAGTATAATTCATGATTTTCTTTTACTTTTTCAAAGGCAGTGGCTAGCCGATTAGATTAGCACGCTTAGATATCAATAGTCGAAATCTTTGACTCGGCGATGCCACAGGCTAGATTGGAAAGCCAAAAATTTTTGGGAGATGAGAAGACACAAAAGACAGCTAACTAAGCAGTATTACCGTAGGGCATATCCCCCTGATCCCACTCGGCCGCTAGCATAATACTCGTATATTGAAAATTTTCGCAGAAAAACTTATTTCAGATCTGAGTACTAGATTTGAAGCCTAATAACTTCGACCAAAAAAAATGGCCTGTCAACTGGTCGAACAACAATTTAGCAAAACGCGTATCGCAGACGCAAATAAATAAATTTTTTTATTTAGTTACTTTTGTCCATTTCCATATCCATTCCATAGCTTTGGGAAGAGGGACTTCACCTAGAGAAATTCGTTTTATTTAATTTAACAAATATGCAAAGAAAAGACACTTGACGAAGCAGTGTAACCGCAGGGTGTATCCAGCTGTTTCCGATCGGCCGCAAGGACATATCGCAATTTTTAACAAAAAAAAAACTTTTTCAGAGCGATCTAAAAGGGTGTAAGGGTGTGCGAAGATAGAGATTTATACATATATTTAAAATGTACAATTCCTCAAAAAATAATGCATGCACATATGTATTTACAGCTATTTTCTACGCAGATTGCGCTTTTTTCGATTATGTCTCACAGCGTTCCTTCTCTTCTTATACCCGGTACTCGAAGAGTAAATTGGGTATATTGTATTTGTGTGGATGTATGTAACGCACAGAAGGAAACGGTTCTGACTCCATAAAGTATATGGATCTATGGGTATATATTAGTCGATATAGCCATATCTGTCGGTCCGTCTGTCCGTCCGTTGAGCGCCTGGAGCTAAAGCCACCAAATTTTTCATCCAGATGGCTGTACGCTCACACTGTTACAAGTGGGGGGAGCTAAAAGCGCGTCTTGACATGAAAAATTATGTATATGTACAAAAAAAAAATTTCAAATCTATAATTTGAAAAACCAATAAGGTACAGATGTACTAGTGAGTACCGGGTATAAAAGTTGTGACGCGTAAGAAGCCTCTCACACGTCCCTTCTCGTTTTATTTGGCAGTTGTTACAGAAAAGGAAACGTGTGCAGCCAATGCACTATGCAGACCACGTTTTCTAGCCCAACCCCATTTTTTAAAAGTACCTAAATTAGAATAATTCTAGCAGCTTTATATGTACATATGTTTATGTATATTCAAAATGTTATCTTAAAAGTTTGAAGTGCTTACGGCTGTTAATACGAATACAGCGAATACGAAATATATTTCTACCAATTTTGCAATGTTTTTTTCAATATTCAACTCAGTGAATAAGAAAATTGCTAAAGACTATGCAAATTTCCATTGTATTTAAGCGGTTATACCTGGCACTAGTTTTGAGAGCGAAACTCTGAGAAAAAAGAAACATATTTTTTTATTCGTTTTTCCATTGATTTAAATTATTGAAACTTGAAACAATTTCCATAAAAGTTTGCAGTCTGTCAAAATTCGTATACAATTGTATAAAGCATATTGAAGTTAAGACACTTTTGAATAATTACAGTGCTATTATGCCCAACATTTCTAGAACTCAAAGAACAATAATCTGCTAGCAGTTAAACAGAAAGGAAATTTAAAATTACTTCATCAGCGAGCACCTAAATTGTCGTATGTCTTGTGGCATATGTCTAAAGCTATGAAGCTATGGGCAATCGAACCAACTGAACGGATATTCAGGATGGAGCGTTTGATACCCATTACAGTTTTATTTTATAACGAAAGCTCCTGAAAAATATTGTTCTGAGGGATGTGTCCCATTATCTTCTAGTTGTTCATTTTTTGAAGATGGCGTTTTTTATATAATACAAATTTTCACTATTCACTATGTTTCATCGTCAAAAATGTAAATGAAAAAAATTTGTTTTTTCCAAGTTGTTAATTTTTGCCACAAAAAGTGGTCAAATTATCCATAGTACGATGGCCAGTATAGACTATATTTAATTTTGGAGCAAGCCTACAAGCAAGCGGGATCGATGATCTAAGTACATGATGGGCTCACCTGGTTACGTTCCAATTGTAGAACAATTGCATTTTCAAAATTCGGCACCGTCTTCTTTCTTTGCTAAATAAAAATAAATCTCTCTGAAGGTTAATTACTCATGCCGCGCGTTAGTAATCTTTAAATTCGTTACCACATATATTTGTACAATGAGGCCAAAAACAAACATCTTAACAAATTTCATGTTCCAAGTTCTTACTCCCACATACTCCCGCGTATTGGTTGACAATGAAACAAGAAGGGACGTGTGAGACGCTTCTTACGCGTCACAACTTTTATACCAGGCACTCAGTACTACATCTGCACCTTTGTGGTGTTTTGTCAAATTTTAAATTTGTTCTTCAACTACATCTACAACACTTCTCACACCAACACGCTCCTTTAGCTCGCCGCCCTTCCCTAGACTTACACACTGCAGACTCGCGGCAGAGGCAGAGGCAGCGCCCGCACACAAACAAGGCAAATATAAGCTGCGGGACGGGGTGGGTTAAAAGTCGGAAGAGGTAGAGGGACGGAAGAGGCCCAGTGAAGCAGAAGCAGAGTGTGAACGAGAGAATGTGAAAAGAACAACAAAAGCTGCGGGACAGGGTGGGTTTAGCCACTGCAAATTAATTTCTTCATTCTGGCTATAATAATGATCCAATCGGATGCCAATTTGTCGATCTGATAGATATGGCCATTCCTTACGGAATGGCTTTTTTAGGTTTCTTTTATCTTCAAAATTGTAGATTTGGGAGGTTTTCGCGGGGGCGGAAGGGGGCGTGGCTTATTTTTGAAATACACTTGTAACAGTGTGAGCATACAGAAGTCTGGATGAAAAATTTCGTGGCTCTAGCTTTTATAGTATCTGAGACCCAGGCGCTCAACAAGACGGACGGGCAGCCGTACGTACAGACGGACAGACAGACATGTCTCAATCGACTCGGCTATTGATGCTGATCAAGAATATATATCCTTTATGGGGACGAAAGCGATTCCTTCTGTGTGTTACATACATTCACTTTGTGCACAAATACAATAATCCCCATTTTTCTCTTCGAGTACCGGGTGTAAAAGAAACCACGAAGGTACAGATGTACTACTGAGTACCGGGTATAAAAGTTGTGGCGCGTAAGCAGCGTCTCACTCGCCCTTCCTCTTTTTTTTGTTGGTAGATGCATTCATTCGGCGTCGTTTAAGGTATTGCTCATCATTTTCCAGACCGTAAGCTAACACCACAAATTGTTTGTTTACTGTTTATAGATGCACTTATCAGCTTTTTAGAGTGGCACAGTTCATTACAACCAGATGTAAGCTACTTGAGATATATGAAAAATAGAAGCGCTACCTCTAAAAAACTGTTAAAAAAGGATAGTTTTTAAAAAGTTGGTTTGGTTCCTTGAGAAAAAAAACTTGGCGGGTACTGTAATTGTCATCTTTATTAAAATTACAGAATTATCGCACAAAAACGCATACAAACAGATTTGTGTATGCATACAAGATATACATACATAAGACATAAACAAGTACGATGAGTTAAATTTTAAAATTAACATTTACAGAAATGATGATAGCTTGATTTAAAGAACTAGATTATCTAAAAACACTCGATTAACATAATATACCTTACATACAAAAAAGTAATCATATTTGATTCGGATATTGAAATAAATATAATGTAGTGCTGATGGTAACTTCGAAGTGACTCTTGCAACAAAAGCCACAATTTACTCTGAAGGATTAGTCGAATGGAAGCCGCCAGCTATATACAAGTCATCCTGTGAGATAGATGTAGAATATTTCCCATTTGATGAACAGACATGTGTTCTAAAGTTTGGCAGTTGGACTTATGACGGGTTTAAGGTAGGTCTGTCAAAATCTGCCTTTAATTTATAGAATCATTATTTTTTTGGTTTAATGCATATTTATTTGTTTTATATTATTTCAAAATCAAATATTTGAGAGGAAGCAGCATTTTGACTTACCTTCCAAATACATTATATTCCGAAATTGCATTTACGTAAAATTTTCATTTGAATTCTAACCTATTCTACTATTTTTGTATATTAAGTACTTGAAAATATCTAAGACGTACACAGGTTGACTTGCTGACAAAAAAAAAAAAATAATATATATGTATAGAAATATTTAATGCACTGAAGACAGATCGTAAAATCATTCACTCTTATTTGAGTTTCTAGTTACCATTGTTTTCGTAATTGCTACATATTTTTTCTCATTTTACAATGGTAATTACATAATATTGTACATAAAATAAATAAACATATTTTACCTTTTTAAACTGATTATTATTTTACTTTTTATGTGTATAATTATATATAAGATATTTACACTTAATTTAATAAATTAAATGCCCATCTGTTTTAACTTGATTTTGAACACATAAGCAGAATTTAAGGTATATTCTTCATAATTCATAATTTCACATATAAAATAACTTTTCTATGCACCTGAATGCACTCGTGCATACAGTTATTCTCTTTGTTTTTTAATTAAGTAATGTATCGTCACATTAAAGGCCGGCTATTGGTACTTATAAATTCCCATGTATAATATTTCCAGTTAAATATGTGTATTTTTTAGGTATAACTTACATAAGAAATAGATTTAAATTGTTATTTGTTAGTAATTGAAAATTTGTACCTGGATAAACATGCTTAAAAATGATTAAAGCAGAATTTTCGGATTATAATTACAGGAAGACTTGGGTAAAGATTAGGGTTCTAGTACATACATTTATGGAATTCAATTTTTGAATTCGTTCAAAGTTAAACATCCTTTTTGAAAACTTATTCGGCATTCGGTGCTTATGACAGTACAATTTCGTATTAATCCGCATTGATCTCTTAGGCTAGACAATTTAAATATTACAAAGCCAAGATTTCTTTATTTTACAAAACTCTAATCCATTTTTTAACATTGAACCATTCATTGACAGTAACTTCCAATCACTCAATTTCAGAACTTAAGACAAAGATAAGATAAGACAAATCTCTACACGTAAATATAATAATAATATATAATAATATATAATAAAGTTGTGTTCGTTTTTTTTAAATCTATGAGCCGTTTGAGATCAAAATTCAATAACACTATTGAGTCAGGCTAAGGCCTGGTTTTAATCTACTTTCAATGTCAATTCAAGTGAACGCTTTGAGTAGATAGTGGTGTATAAGAAAGTATAATGTAGGATTTTCCAGGGCTTTCGACTCCCTTAACATTTTTATTTTCGGTCGAGAGGATAATTATGGAACCAACAGAAAGTCGTGCACGTCGATGCCGAAGAACAGTCGACAGATTTTAGAAAATAGACCCGCCACCTTCCGCCCCCACAAAGGGCGTAAATCTGCTGTATTCACACTTTGAAAATAAGTGAAATCTAAAAACGGCATTACGTATGGAATGACCATCTATCAGTTCACCGAATTGAGATTAGATGGATTGGATCACTCCCACTCCGACCTGCAGCTTTTTTTATGTTTTGCACATTCTCTCATTCCGTACTCTGCTTCGTGCAGTGTGCTGCTCTAGGGGAGGGCGGCTAGATGAAACGTGATGTATGTACATATACATCACATCTCACGCCAACACGCTCTTTTAGCAAGACATATGTAGAAAAAATGTGAAATATAAAATTCGTAAAAAACCTTTAAGGTACAGAAGTTCTCCTGAGTACCGGGTATATAAGTCTCACGCGTCCCTACTCGTTTAATTTGGAATTTAATTAATAAGTTTCTGAAATGTTGAGGAAGCAGCCACAAACCGCATATTTCATAATGCGGATAATTGTGATGTGATTGTATACAAAGTTGGAAATAATTAAAATCTTAAATACTTAAGTAGTGTGTGAAATTGAAAATACGTACGAGGGAGAAACACACTAAGCGTAGTGAGAGACGGAAAAATGGGAGATTTCGGGTCGGCGGGAAGGGAGACGGATCAACAGATGTTAAGGGAAATAACAGAATATAGCCTGTTCCCGTCTTGTCAACAAAATATTGTAAACTCACAAATTTTGCAAAATACAAATAAAATGAAAAGGATCTTCTCCCCATGCAACCACCATGCGAGACGGTGAAACTAGGATTGACCGCTGGTATAAATTAAAAATACTACAATTACAACTTTTTCTTCTGATTTAAATATATCCATATATATAATTTACATTTATGTGTTGTTGATATTCGGATGTCTGTTTTTTGTGAGAAAGGTATAAAAAGCAATAATGAAGAATGGTACTAATTTTAGAATTTTGATAGTCTCGGTAAATGGTGGCAGTTCTAAACACAACATAATCTAAATTAATTCATTTTTCTTCAGGATTTATTATACGTTTTATACGTTCCCATTAGGGTTCAGGACTTTATTACACTCCATTATCTGAATCTGGTTTTGTAAAGCAGACGCACAATTAGCAAAATTGATATATTTGTATGTATTTACATATATATATTTGTATATGTACATATGCACGTATGTTAATTCATATTTATATTTTTTTTCCTTACACAATTAACAAACCTTGGCCAAAATTCCTTGCCCTTTTCAACGATCCTCCAGTATCCTCCTGTATCGTGAGAAAATCAAGTTTTACATGAGCAACTTGATGGTCAGTAGATATATGTACATATGTTCTCACGGTGTGCGTTGGCATGGCATGCCACTAGCAGGCTGATTTCATTGGCCTCGCGTTCTCGATAAGGGTGCGTATGCTCGCGTGAGGAGGAGAGTCTGGCTGCTCGTGTCCCATGTAGGTTGTGCATAGCCACAGCGAGCTCGCCTGGCCTTCGAGGCTCATTGATGTATGGTCTTTGTTAATATAATGTCATAGCAGTTTCTTGTTTTACCTGTGTTTTCAGGTACGAAAGGTAATGACTCCTCAGCCCGGAGAACCTGTTTCCCTAAAGGAGTGTCAGGAACATTCCTGAGACTCGCCTCCGCCATTGCTAAATCATCATCGCTCTCGGGGGTCTCTGTCTCCTCGCCGACATAAATGCATCGCATTCATAGTTGTTGAGGATTTATTGCTGCTTACTTGGGGCCTTGTCTGCGCCCTTTTCGGATTGCCTATCTAGAACACCGGGAGGATTGAGCTGGCCAATCGCCTCCCTGGACCGACTCCCTGAACTCATGTTCTTCGTTCGAGAGGATGTAAGACACATGCCTACTGTCTTGGCAGTCCCGCTTCTTACTTTGCTTCGCCAGCCGCGATGACGCTCTGCTTGGCAGACACCTCGCCTGGCCCGATTGGCTTATCGTCCCCGAGGACGGCGGGCCTACTGAGACTCCTACCTCGTCTTCTAGAAAGAGTATCGGGATGCTTTGCGGTTTTATTTCCCATATTTAAATCTAACATGTTTGATCCCAGGGTTGGCGGGAAGGGGTTGGTCACCCGAGGCGTAGCCCGCTAGCCCCGGCAAGCTTAATTTAAAATGGAGGTATGGCAGATTTCCAAAGTCCGCATACTAGCAACCAGGCACACCCTCAGTTTCACAGTTTCACCTTGGATTGGAGTAATTTCACAATAGTTTTCATCTCTCCGCCCGGCTCCCATTTGCCAGCATCCACGGAAGAGACTTGACCGTACCAGGACCAGTTACCAGCCGTCCTCACTGGGAGCGTATAGGCGCATTTCCACCGGTGTACAGTTAGGCCAGATGGCGATCCTTTCGTGATGCCGCTGTTTCCTAGAGCAAGTAGTGCCGCACTGGGTCAGGGTTATAGCCCTAGCCTGAACCACCCTTGCAAAAAGCCGAGTGTATATTTTTGGAGAGCAAACCCGCCACCCGCTTATCCCCCTGTATCACTCGATAAATGACGTCTGAGCCCATAGAGTATTCATAAATATTCTTGATAAGAATCAATAGTCGAGTCGATAAGGCTATGTTTGTCTGCCGGTTTTACGCCCAGTTTTCAGAGATCATAAGAGCTAGAGTAACCAAATTTTCAGAGAAGACTGATCATTATTCCTCATTATATTTTGTTCGTGTATTTCGCTACTTTCGTCCATGTTATTGTTCTTCAAAACATATCTTTATGGCGGTCGTCGTCGGGCGCCCGGGCAGCATCGCCATCGGCTACTCTTCTCGAGCCCATAAAATAATGGGGGGCCCAGGATGTGCTTGGGAAGAGCGA